CATTTAACAGTGGTTTATATACAAGACATATACAGAAAATACACGTGGTAGGAAAAATACCTTACAAGCAATCCATCTTCTTCTTAACTCTGTACGGAAACCTCTGCAATGGATACCGGACACAAGGAGAGAGAACACGCCCTCTAATGGCTGCCTTATATAAACTTCTATGGACTCCTTCTTCGTCTTAAAAGAGCAATGCCCATGCTATGCTGCTTCATCCTCAATTGCATCAGACGTACATTGCATCAGACTTAACAGCAGCTGGCAGCTATTAAATCTTATACCTCAGCATAAGGTAGTAACATACAACCTCAGTTTTTCCTTTACAAGATAATGTACACTAGCCATACCACGAATCTATCTAACCAACAAAATCCAAAATCAAAGTTTCCTATTTTTTTTCTACCTCAAGCACAAAGTCCAAAAGGAGGGGGGCAAAAATTGTGTTGTTGTTTTTTTCCTTTAATCAAAACCATCCATTTTGCCATCTCTGCTACCTCCATCAACTTTTGCAGGCATTCCTCCACTGTGCAATCTAATCCATTCCTGATGGAGGGGGTGGGTGGGTGGACAGTCATCTCTTTAGGTCAGTTTACTGTTCGCCTCTTCTGCAGAAGAGCACCCAAAATAACTTGCCGTGCATGTTAAACTCTTTGCCTGCCGATTCTGGACTGGCGTCGCGTCGTGCCTTCAAGTTTTATACTTCTCAAACACAGAGCTTTCCTGTTTGTAAATGTACCGTCATTTCTGGAGGGGATCCAGCGGCAAATATTTTCCATGTTAATTCCATCCAAGCTAAATCCCAGCCGTTTGTTATTAAGCAAGAATTCCTTACCACCTTCCATTATGCATTATGCAATTCCAGCTTTCGGTCAGTGAGAAGACTCATGTTGGCTTAGGTATGTCAGAAGCGTTGGTTGGTTGAACTTTCTTGGCTGATACAGCCTCGAGGCCACAGTGGTGGGATTCAAAAAAATTTACTACCTGTTCTGTGGGCGTGACTTGGTGGGCGTGGCAGGGGAAGGATGCTGCAAAATCCCCATTCCCTCCCCATCCCACTAACCTGCTTTCCAGCTCCGTTCTCCTGTGCAGGGCAACCAAAGAAGACCCAGCCAATCAGCTGGGACTCAAAGGGAGGCGGAGAAGAGATGGGGGCGGAGCCAGTCAGAGGTGATATTTGCCGGTTCTCCGAACTACTCAAAATTTTCGCTACCGGTTCTCCAGAACTGGTCAGAACCTGCTGAATACCCACCTCTGCTCCAGGGAGAACCTCTTCCTTGGTTTGGAGGCAGAGCTGGGCAAAAGGGCCCAAGGCCTTAGCAATGGTTCGAGTATAGACATTGCACTAAGCAACACTCATTTCCTTGCTGGCATATGAGGTTGTGCGAATTCATCCATGGTGGTTTGTAAACCCAGGTTCATGATTCACCATGTTGTCAAGCCCACCCATCATTCCCCTTAAGATTTATTCAGCGAACCATTTGAGGTAAACAATGGTTTTATATCATGTATCACATGATAGGCAATTATATCATTTTAAATAAGAGCTTGCTTGGCTTAGTAATGGCAGAATCCCAGGTGTAACGGGTACATTTAAGCATATAGTCTGTCTGTTTTTTTTAAATTTATTTAGAATCGTTCCATGGCGAGACAGGCGGCGTATAAATTAAATAAATATTTACAAAATTCATAGGCTGCTCAAGTCTCAGTTTGCTTTCTTGGGCTGCTGTAATTCTTGCAGCTTTTGCTTGTGTTGTTTCCCTCAACTTACGAAGTCTCACAAAAGAGAAAAACCTATGCAAGAGAAAGACCGACTGTTTATATGTTCATGTCTGACTATATCTTTATATCTAGAGCGTAATTTTTCATATTCATTTCAGTTAAAAATAGGCAGGCGCCCATCATCTTCTATCGAGATTCCATTCCTTAGACTTAACAATTGTTCAATAATGTATGTTACAAGTGTGCCCCATAAATGTGAATGGCATATCCCATACATATAGGCTCAGATTAATTTGGATTTAAGACCATTAAAATTGAACGGCCTAAGAGTTGGAAAGTTTCTCATATGTTGACAAAGGAGGGAGACCTTTCATAAAATCATTAAGTTCTAACAGAAGCCGGAATTCCAGTGTGCATTTTGTCCAAAATAGGATTGCTGCAATTGACGTAATTAGTAGCATGTATGAATGTGTACCATAATGAGTAGAAGGGCCAGCTTCTACCAGCCTGCTACAAAGTGTTATAATTCTCTCTCCCTCTCTCTCTCTCTCTCTCCCTCTATTTCTTTCTCTCTCCATCTTTCTTTCTCTCTCACACACACACACAAACTCCATCTCTTTCTCTCTCTCTCACTTTCCATCTCTCTCTTTCTCTCTTTCTATTTCTCTCTCTCACCTTTCTCTCTCTCTCTCTCTCTCTCTCCCACTTACCCTTCGGTAAATGTCGTAGTGTGATAAATGTCAAAGGAATGGAAAGTTACTCAGTAACTATTTTTTATACCCCTGATCTTATCAGTGTGCTGAGTTGGATGACTTTGGCTAATAAGTACTAACCCAGCAACCTAAATGCTTCTGCTGTATATATTAGACACACATTGCCAAGACGGTCTTCTACGTGGCAGGGAGGGACAGAGGGAGGGAGGGAGGGAGGCGGCCGAGGCAGTGCAGAATGAATGGAAGGAGCATGGTAGGGCCGAAACCAGTTTCAGCTCCCAGTTGGGAGATTCTCAGTCACCAGGTCACGGTTGTCCCAAAGATGCTTTTCCAAAAGGCAACTGGACTTTCTTCTATTTTACTTGAAGGCGCTTCCCTTCACATCCAAGAAGCTTCTTCGGTTCTGATTCAGATTACAAATCCCATTATCCACGGCTAGCAAAGGGTTTGGCTCAGTGGGTGGAGGGCACAAGAACTCACAGACTCAAGTCAAACGGTGGATCCCAGGTTGAGCAAGGCTGAGATAGCCCCTTGGCAACTGGAGCCAGCGGTTGGGAGGTGCTTGGTTATTCCGTAACCACGCCAAGTTGCCTTCTGAAAAAGAAGCGGAGGTGATGGCCTTCAAGGAGCCACTCCCTGGCATGTTGAAGCTGTGCCACCTGACCTTCAGGTGTGTAGGACATAGTTGGCACGCCCACATAATCCCATCCCAGGCTCAGCTTGCCTCGTTCTGGAATTGAGCTCCCCGAACGAGCCAACTTAATAGAATAATATGAATTACAGAATAACAGAGTTGGAAGGGACCATGGAGGTCTTCTAGCCTAACCCCAGCTCAAGCAGGGGACTCTCTACCATTCCAGACAAGTCCCTTCTTGCCTCAAAAGCCTCCAGTGATGGATCACCCACAACTTCTGGAGACAGTTCAGTGGCAGTTATTCAACCGTCAGACAACTCTATTTAGTATTTAGTATTTATTTGATTGGTCAATCGCTTACAAGATACAGGTATAAGAATAAATATAGTTTTGAATACATGAGATAGATACTTATAAGAAAAATAAAAGAAACAATAGGACAGGGACGGTAGGCACGTTGGTGCGCTTATGCACGCCCCCTATAGACCTCTTAGGAAAGGGGTGAGGTCAAGAGTAGACAGTCTAAGGTTGAAGTTTTGGGGGTTTGGGGAAGAAACCACAGAGTCAGGTAGAGTATTCCAGACATTGGCCACTCTATTGCTGAAGTCGTATTTCCTGCAATCAAGTTTGGTGCGGTTAACCTTGAGTTTGTATCTATTGTGTGCTCTTTTATTGTTATGATTGAAGCTGAAGTATTCATTGACAGGTAAGTCATTGCAATGTATGATTTTATATACTATACTTAGATCGGACCGAAGGCGGCGGAGTTCTAGGTTTTCTAGGTCTAGAATTTCAAGTCTGGTGGCATAAGATATTCTGCAACGAGTAGAGGAGCGGAGAACTCTTCTTGTGAAACTCTACTTGGATGACTGAGAATCTTCATGGAGATTAATCTTCATTGACAAGTTGGCCTTTTGAGCAAACCATGGGCTGTAACCTTCCGAGTGATGAATAAGACTGGTTGAAATTGTTTTTGTTGTTTTTTTCTGTACTTCTCCAAAGCAGGAAGTTATTTGTTTTATGTATATCGTTGCTTTTATTGAGTTTTCAGTTGTAACTTGCCTTGAGTTTCTCTGATCTAGCTTCCTTAGAAATCTAATATATTACTATTGATATTGTTATCGAAGGCTGCATGCTTGCATTCATCCCTCATGTTTGTTCAAATAATATAGCAATAGCCCTTAGACTTATATACTGCTTCACAGTGCTTCACAGCCCTCTCTAAGCAGTTTACAGAGTCAGCCTCTTGCTCCCAACAACCTGAGTCCTCATTTTATTGAGCTTGGAAAGATGGAAGGCTGAAGCAACCTTGAGCAGGTTATGATCAAACTGCTGGCAGTCGGAAGTCAGCAAAAGTAGCTTGCATTCTAACCACTGCTCCATCATGACTATGATGGGATATTTCTTCCCACCCAGCCCCCAGTCCTTGAACTATTAAATCAATGTTTCTTAACATTGGCAACTTTAAGCTGTGTGGACTTCAACTCCCAGAAGCCCACACAGCTTAAAGCTGTCAAGGTTAAGAAACACTATGTTAGATATCCCCAAAGATGCTTTTCTCAGGAGGCAACTGGGCTTCCTTGTTTCTCTTTTGAAGACGTTTCACTTCTCATCCAAGAAGCTTCTTCAGCTCTGATAGGATGGTGGGGAATGGAAGGATTGATACTCCTTGCAGACAGAACTGGTCATTTGCATCCTTTTAGAGGGTCGTTGAGGCCACTTGGAGGTTTATCTGTGTCCTCAGGGTCATCTGAGTAGTGCTCCTGGTTCCTGTAGTCTGCAATTTTTTTCCCCCTCTGGAAATCCATTCCGACTCTCTTTTAACTATGTTAGGTAGCTATTGTGAAACATGGAGAAAGTAATCTACGTGAAATGAGACTTCTGCCCACCTGGGTTCTCAATCTCTCTTTCTTTTTCTATCCATCCAGATCCGAGATGAGTGGGGGAACAAGATATGGTTCTGTCCCGGTTGTGAAAAGCCAGACGATGGCAGCCCGATGATTGGGTGTGACGACTGTGACGATTGGTATCACTGGTAAGTGGTGGAGGAGGAGGAGGCCATGGTCTGCTTCTGAAGTCATGTGGGAGGACTCTTGTGGGACTTCTGGGTGTTGCAGTTGTAGACCTACAAATGACATGGAAATGAACATTTATTACCTAAGATGGTGAGCTGTCAGCCTATTGCAATCCGCTGGTAGAGTTTCAAACAAGACGTGAACACCAACATGTCCAAATCGGAGCTTTTGGTCAACATACCACCATTTCCCAAACCTTTTGAGGCTGTGCTTACAATCATTCTGGTTTCAAGGTGGCAGAGAAATGTAAAGTGCATGAAAATAATCCATAGAAATAAAAGGCTAGGAAACTAGGAAACCACGAGTTCTAATCCCACCTTAGGTATGAAAGCTGGTCATGTGTCTTCGGGCCCCATCATCAGGAGACCGTGAGTTCTAGTCCTACCTTAGGCAGGGGAGCCGATTGAGTGACTTTTGGGCCAGTTACCAGGAGACAGTAAATTCTAGTTCCGCCTTGGGCATGAAAGCCAGCTGGGTGACTTTCGGCCAGTGCTTCAACCCAACTCTCCTGACAGGGTTGTTGTTGTTGTGGGGAAAACAGAAGGAAGAAAGTGAGTGGGATATGTTTGCCACCTTGAATTATTTATTAAAATAATAAAGGATGGGTGGGTGGATGGATGGGTGGGTGGTCGGATGGATGAATGGATGGGTGCATGGATGGATAGGTAAGTGGTTGGGTGGATGGATAGATGGATGGATGATTGGAAAATGAATATAGATATATATTTAAGAATATCAGGCACGAAAGATCAGGCCCGCATGTGAAGGTCCAATTAAACTGATTTATTGCTAAAAAAAACCTATGTACAGTACAAGAATCTCCTCAACTAACTGCTAGCACCTGACTGGAGTTAGATAAGGACCAACAGAATTCAAGGAGGATTGGGCTTAATCCACTTGTGGTGACCTAGGGATTCTAGACTCATTCCTCCTTTAACTCCACCCACCCCCCTCCCTCCCACGTTCTGCCACATCCTTCTCCTACAATAAGTAAATGTAAACTCAACTTCAATCTAGTTTATTTCCTCTCCCCGCCCTTCCCGTTTTGGGGACGTCCCATTCCCAGGCCTAACACAGCCCTCCTTTTCAATGATTTTATAGACCCCTATCTTGAGCTAACAGGCTTCGCTAGCGGCCAAGTGATACATTCGGCCTGGTCCTACTGTCAGAGGTATTGAATTCCTTCTTGCAAAGCACTGATGTGAATATAGAGTTCCCTGAATTTTCATTACTTAAATAATCCTAAGAGTATTTTTTCCTGAACTGAAAAATAGACCCGTTCTACAACTGAAAGGATTTATTCAGTGAACTGAGTAATCGTTCTACACATTTAAACAAATAAACCGATCCCAGTGGATGGATGGATGGATGGATGGAGATATATATATATATGTGTGTTTTCTCAAGTTTTCGCGGGTACTTACATGTATGGCATTCAGCTTTGTTTGGGTATTTTCCCACGTCATTGTAGTTGTGCTTTTAAAGTTGTAGCAACGTTTTGGCAGAATCTCATCTGCCATCATCAGGCTCGTCTTTTTAAAGGATGGGGAAATATAACCCTTTAGAACCAAAAAAAAACACAGGGTCCTAAAATGATTAAAAACAGTAGAGGAAGCGTTTACAAAAAAAAAAAAAACAGAAAGAAAATTATTTATGTACAGATGGATTCCAGTTTATGCACAATATGGAAAAAGTATATATACTGGTATATCAGGAAGTACAATTCAGAGAAAACTGATAATGCTTATACTCCGAAATCAGCAACCATTCTAAGTATCTAAGAACACATTTCACGAGAAAATACAGGAAATAACCCTTGTGTAAATCCACCGGTTCCTCCTTTTATTCATATCTGCAGGAAGATTTTAAGGTGGGGGAAAACACGAGATCAAGCGCTGACACCACATAAATTAAAATTGTGAAATCTCTTCAGTTGTAGGTGATGTCCCATATCGTTACGTATGTGTGTGAAAACGAAACCATCGACAAACAAAACGTGTGGTTGTTGTTGTTTTCAACCCATGTTCTATCCAACCTCTATCACAGGATGGTGAACTGTTGTTCCCTCGCCTTTAAATCAAATTATATAGGTAGTCCTTGACTTAACAACCATTCGCTTAGTGGCCGTTCAAAGTTACAACGTCACTGAAAAAAAGTGACCTAAGAGCATTTTTCACCCTTACACACTTACTCGGAGGTGCTGCCATGGTCACATGATCAAAATTCTGATGTTTGGCGACTGCCAGACATTTATGATGCTGTCCCGGAGTCATGCAAATCCCCTTTTACGACCTTCTGACAAGCAAAGTCACTAAGGAAGCCAGATTCATTTAACCACCGTGTGACTAGCTTAATATAACCAGTGGGGTGATTCACTTAACACTGGTGGGGAGAGAGGTCGTAAAACGGGTCAAAGCTCACTTAACAGCTGTCTCCACTTAGCAACCAAAATGTGGGGTCCCGTTGTGGCCCTGCGTCGAGGACTAGCTGCGGCAATTTCATCCTGCTAAAATTTGCAAGGAATTGTTCTCCTCCTTCCACCTGTTGTGGCACGCCAGCGGCCAGCAGAGCTGGCAGCAGATTCGGACAGTGAGGAGGTTCAGGAGGAAACTGGGCCAGTCCTGGAGTCTGGGGAAGGCTCTGACGAGTGCTCTGTGTCGGAGGCAGAGAGGGGGCCAGGGCCGTCTGACAGTTATCAGCCGCCTTCGGAGTCAGAGATCAATGGGGAAGAACAGCTGGAGCCTGTTCCCAGTGTGTGCATGCACAGAGCTGCCAGGAGAAGGGAACGGTTAAGGAACAAGGGTCGGCTCGGGAGTAAAGCCACAGGTGGATGGTGAATGGCCCCTCCCAGGGGGAATAAAAGAGAAGGGGAGTGGGGTTTTTCAGAAGACAATTAGTTCATTTGGGTGAATGTTCCTGCATTCTTGCCAAATATTGTCTGCTACAGTGTGGCATCTGAAAGCTATCGGCCTGGCAACTCTCCAAGCCTGATAAAGGTCTGTAGTCGTGGAATCTCTTGCAAGACTGTTGGCTGGGACTTTGCTGGAGAGGAATTCACTGTACACTAAATAAAAAGGGGTTTTATCGGGACAAGGACTCAACTTCGTGCTGTTGGGGAGGCCTAGGCCAGAACACCACCATCTTTCACGCCTTTCTCCTTTTCCTTCGCAGGCCCTGCGTTGGCATCACGGCTGCTCCCCCGGAAGAGATACAGTGGTTCTGCTCCAGGTGCGCAAGCAAAAAGAAGGACAAAAAACACAAAAAGGGGAAACACAAAGCACACTGAGGTTGTGGAGAATAGTCAGCGTTCCTGCTCCCGGCCAAGTCCTCTTCCAGAGGGATTTGGTCCAGCTTCTGCTGCCCTCTCCGTTGCCATCACATCTCTGAGGATTTTGATTTTGGGAAGAATCGCAAAGATGCACATCCTTACACACAAATTCTCTCCCTCAGCTTCCGTCTCTCTCTCTCTCTCTCTCTCTCTCTCTCTTTCCTCCTGCACCAAGTGCGACAGGCACAAATTGAGAATTTAACGGACTCGCCAGCCAGAAGAACAATCAACCGAGCAGCAGAGGCCTTTGTAAATAATTGCCACCTTCTCCAAAGTTTGTGGGTTGTTTTTTTTCCTGGTTTAAAGTAGCAGGAAAGACTAATTATGATCCTTTTGAAGCCCCTGGAGTGATTTCCACAGCCCAGTCTGGCCTCTTCCTTGCAAAGCCAGAAAATTAGATGTGACTCCAGGATGGAGTAAATGGTTGGTAGATTTTTTTTTTTCCAATGGGAGTATGTGAAACTTTAATCTTGTTTTTTCTTCCTCCCGTTTTTTTTTTTTCAACAATCTAAATAAAACTGCCTTAGTTTTTTGTGAAATAACTTCCCTTTTCGTGTGTGTGTATGTCTGGGGGTGGCTGGGCAGAGGGGTAGGTTTATCTTCTCCAACTGAAAATATGAATTAGATTTTTCTCTCCCTTCCAAAGCCCATGTGAATTAAGATTCAATCTTGGAAAAAGAAGAGATTTTCGGTTTGCTCATTTCAGAAGTTCATCGAAGCACTTCCTAGAAATAGATTTTATTTCTATTTATTTTTTTACTCGAGTTGATAACCTAGAAGACATGGTGGCTATTTTAAAATTTGCCTACAGTACAGGTAGCTTTTGACTTGCAACCAGATTGAGCCCCAAATTTCCACTGCTAAGTGAGGCAGCTGTTAAATGAATTTTGCCTCATTTTATGACCTGTCTTGCCACAGAATCACTGCAGTTGTTAAATTGTCAACAAGGTTGTTAGGTGAATCTGGCTTTCCCATTGACTTCGCTTGTCAGAAGGTCGCAAAACAGGATCACATGATCCCGGGACATGGCAACTGACATAAGTACATGCCAGTTGCCCAGCGTCTAAATTTTGATCACATGACTATGGGGATGCTACAATGGTTGTAAGTGATAAAAATGGTCATAAATCACTTTTTCCAGGGCGTTGTAAATAACTAAACAAATGATTGTAAGTCAAGAACTACCTGTAATTTATCTAAGCACTTCCTAGAAATATATTTTTTTTGACTCAGGTTGACACCTAAAAGGTACTTATTTTGAAATTTACCTCAGAATTATTTTTAGGACTTTGTTATTTTACTTTTTTTTTTTTTACATTTTCCTCATGTTGTGGAACGTTACATAGATTTCTGGATGCAGGGTGTGTGATGGGACCCAATCCATGTATTCAATTCTACTTTTCAACCAAATCTTTAAAACAGGGATCTCCAAACATGGCACCTTTATGACTCATGGACTTCAACTCCCAGAATTCCTCAGCCAGCCAGGAATTCTGGAAGTTGAAGTCCACAAACTCTTAAAACTGCCAAATTTGGAGACCCATCTGCCTTTCTTCTGCCATACAGCTTTCTTCTGTCAGAACCAAAAGATATTGGCAAATTAACAGTAAGGAGGATTCTTCGTATTCTGCGTTTTGAAAATCAGACTTAAAACTCCTTCCTGGAATAACAGGCCCCATGGAAAAATGTGCATGGATGTATTTTTAGTCAGCGTGTTTTTCCATCGTATCCTTGGGGCTAATGTCCAGGAAATGCCTACGCCTAGGTGGTGAGAAAAAAGGGTTATTTAAATATATGGTATTGCCCCCTAAATGCAGGTAGTTTTCGTCAGAGCGATTAAAAGAAGAAAGAATAACTTGTGCCTATCGAAAATATCCTCAGAGTGAGGAGAAAAGCAGTTTCAAGGGAACAGGGCAGCTGTTTTTTGTTTTTTTTCCTGCAGCCGGGAAGTTTAATGCAAGATGCTTTGCCAAGATGGGAGGTCATAGGCAGCCTGTCACATGTCTGAATTGAAGGCACTAAACCTGGTTGATTTTCGGGAACGCACCTCTCTTTTAAAATTTGGCATGCGTTCTCTTAAAGACTACTACGCTACTGTACTGGGAATTAAACTCAGCTAAAGCAAGAAGCTGAGTTTTACGTAAACAGTAGCGGGGGCGGGGGGTGGGAATTAAGTCAGAAATGTGTTCTTTTTTCCACTTAGTCTCCAATCATTCTGACCAGATTTGCATTCAAATCAGAATAAGGAATCAAACTTGGTTTGCTTTTCAATTCGGTTTTATGTCTTTTTTTTTTTAAATGCCGTTTTGCAAAAAGGCAAATTCCATTTGGGCTTGAGATGTACATTATTCTTATCTCCTAGACCACAAAAAGATTGTCGTGAGAGCTACGGATATTATTTGAACATTTTATTTGAGTTTGCCGGAGAGGAAAATAAAAGAGCGGTAGAAATATATGAAGTCCGCATTCCACATCCCACTTAAGGAAAAATTGTTTCCTGGTTCAGATGAACCATTATTTTTAGTTACAAAGTGGACACTGAAATAAATTCCATGAGTACAGGTAGTCCTTGACTTACAACAGCTCCAATTTTGTTCATCACATTATAAAAAAGATGTTGAGACTCTAGCAAAAGTACAGAGAAGAACAACCAGGATGATTAAGGGACTGGAGGCTAAAACATACGATGAACGGTTGCAGGAACTGGGCCTGGCTAGTCTACTGAAGAGAAGGACCAGGGGAGACAGGAGAGCAGCCTTCCAATATTTGAGGGGCTGCCACAGAGAGGAGGGGAGTCAATCTATTTTCCAAAGTACCTGAAGGCCAGACAAGGAACAATGGATGGAAACTGAACAAGGAGAGATTCAACCTGGAAATAAGGAGAAACTTTCTGACAGAACAATCAACCCATGGAACAGAAGTTGCCCACGGAAGTTGTGGGAGCGCCATCACTTGAGACTTTCAAGAAGAGATTGGACTCCCATCTGTCAGAAATGGTGTAGGGCAGGGGTGGGCAAACTTTTTGGCTCGGGGGCCTCATTGACTTTTAAAATTTGACAGACGGGCCGCTACCTGGTGTCGAAATGCCTGTCATTACAAGTCAAAATCAAATGAATGCAATCATTCAATCATTCACATCAAACCTTAATTCTTCGGCGGGCCGGATTAAAAAGACCAACGGGCCGGATGTGGCCCTCGGGCCGTAGTTTGCCCATCCCTGGTGTAGGGTATCTCGCTTGGGGTGAGGGGTTGGACTAGATGACCTATATGGTCCCTTCCGACTCTGATTATCTGTTAAGATCTGTTAAGGGACCACTCAAAGTTACAACAGCACTGAAAAAAAGTGACTTATGACCATTTTTCACACTTATGACCATTGCAGGATCCCTGTAAGGCAATCAAAATTTGGATACTTGTCAACTGACTCATATTTATGACAGTTGCAGTGTTCCCGGGGTCACATGATTCCCCTTTTGCGACCTGACAAACAAAATCAGTGGGGAAGCCAGATTCATTTAACAACCGTGTTATCAACTTAACAACTGCAGCAATTCACTTAACAACAGTGGCGAGAAAGGTTGTAAAATGGGACAAAACTCACTTAACAACTGTCTCGCCTAGCAACCAAATTTTAGGCTCCATTGTGATCAAAAGTTAAGGACTACCTGTATAAAATCCAGAACACCACAACCCGATTAAAAATGGGGAGAACAGGATGGAGAAATGGAGAACATGTTTATTTAGCATAAGGCACACCATGCACGGACTTGCAATATATATGAACATTTCACCTAGATTAGAAACACAATAAAATATGAATGTTAAAAGGACCTATATCCAGATGCCAATATCTAGACCAGTGATGGCTAACTTTTTCGACACCAAGTGCCCAAAGCGCATGTGTACATCCCCAAAATGCAGTTTGCATGCCGCACCCCCACGCATGCACCCCAGGACGTGCACACATGACTCCTTGGGTAGGGGTGGGATTCAAAAATTTTAACAACTGGTTCTGTGGGCGTGGCTTGGTTGTTAAAAATTTGAATCCCACCACTGCAGAGGGGGGATAATGAGAGATGATAGATAGATAGACAGAGATAGATAGATAGATAGATAGATAGATAGATAGATAGATAGATAGATAGATAGATGATAGATAGATAGATAGATAAATAGATAGATAGATAGATAGATAGATAGATAGATAGATAGATAGATAGATAGATAGATAGATAGATAGATGATAGATAGATAGAGATAGATAGATAG